GCCTGTGGACTACACAAAGTTAAGCTAGTTTTGATGATATTATGGGGAAATATATTTATTAAATGTTTAAATTGCAAATATCACATACAAATGTATTCATCTAGTATATAGCTAGCTGATAAGTTAAATGCTAAATAAGCCATAGCTAGCATAAGAGTGCATCTATGAGGCACTACCTACCTCAAATGTGATGCTGTGATATGATACAATTTCATTACATTACCCTCAATTCCCAGTTAGTTCCCCTAAATTCATGTTAATTCCCATAAATTCCCTTAATTCCCATTATTCCCATGTAAAGCTTCCAATATGGAATATTTCCAAAATTCCCCAGCTTAACTTCCCATGGAAATTTACCGGAAATTTTCCGCCCCTTTGCAACCCTAGTCAAACATGACAAAAAAAAAGTCCAAAATGTGTCCAGTAAAATTCTAAATAAACCCCAAATGACTTTTCATTGGTCCAAATAATAACTGAAACTGGACCAAAGTCACTCAAACTTAGTCCACCATGCTGTCTCTCAGCTGCCCGAATCATCCGTCCTCTTCACCAAGACCTTCATCTGTGACCCGAAGGAGCACAGCAGCCACATGGACGTGACTTCACTCAGAAACAAACTCAACACAACATCAGCCAGAGGGACCTTCTAAACTCGAAGCGATCCTCAGAGGCTCAGACCTTGGATTCGCTCTGTGCTCAGAAACCCTTTATGGCTGAATCAGAGCCTTCAAACAGCACTACAATGCAATCTCTACCTTTTCCCAGTCAGAACAAAAGAGCGTTTCCCTGCTGCCTGCATGTGTCTGCTCAGTGTCTGCTTTCTACAAAGTTTCTTCTGACTGGATGAAGGCTTTAGTGCAGACTGACAACACCGTGCGGTTCTGAACACAGCAGCTGGAACTACAACATCTCAGAAAGAGAAAACAGGACTGAATGAGACTCAACGGTCTGCAGGAGGAGGAGGAGGAGGAGGAGGAGGAGGAGGTCTTCCTGTGGAGTCTTACCGAACGGAGAAGGGGAGCGCTCCACCTGGAACTGACCTGCAAACAAACACACACAGTTATCTTGTGGACGTCCGTCCTGCAGCCTGCACACAGCACTCTTCTTTTCGGTTGGTGCCACTGCTCCTCCGTCTGAAGCTACGCCAACGCCACACTAGTCTGCTTCCCGCTGCAGAACCCGTCCCTGCAGAACCTCTTTCAGGAGAACACAGCTCCGCCTCCAGGGCAGGAACGTCTGGGTGGTTACTCTTACCCCTTTTCCACCAAGAAGAACCAGGTGCTGGTTCCAGTGCTTAGTTGGTTCCAATCTAAGAACCTGGTTGCTTCTCCATCAGCCAGGAGCCCAGTCAGAACCGTACGTCACTGCATACGGAGCCGTTTACCGAACAACGCTGACGCCTCACAGAAGTCCACACAGGAGTCCAGACTGACTTTGGTACCGGTGTGACCAACTTTCCCACCTGGTCACAGGAGAAACATCTGACCTGCTGAGCATGTTCTTATTCATAGACTCTACAGTTTACGATGTTCCCTGAACGCCCCACATAGCAGGCTGGGGTAGCTGCTGCTGGTGGCCGCGGTGCTCAGACCGGTGTGAGACCAGAGATGACTTCAACAGAGTGAACCAGGAGGTTCTGGTGTCAGATTGGTCCAACATGAAACCGAGTCAGTTTTCCTCATGAGGTCTTTTCTATGAGCAGAATAAACAGCGTGTAGCTGCGCTCCGTTTTTCAGAAGAGACCTCATGTCTAAGCTAAATACCGACGTTCTAACAGTCCTGTTCTCCACCACTGTGGTGCTGCTGCTGGGACACAGTTGGACCGGATTTCAACAGTTTGTGCAGAACTTCTGTGTGTCCCGGGACTCATTCAGTACATCTGTGATTGGACCAATCCTGGTGAAAAACGACACTAATCACCTCTTGTGTGTCCCATCCATCGGTCTCGGTGGTCCTGATAGTCCCGCTCCCAGCCCCGCCCCCAGCCCCTGACGGACTGGTGCTCAGCTCTGGCCCAGCAAACAGTTCGGTTCTGAGAGCCTGGAGCCGGTGCTTAGGCGGTGGAAACAAAAAGAACTGTTGCTGAGTCAGGCTCTGGCACTGAACCAGCACTGGATCCGGTTTGGTGGAAAAGGGGCCACTCAGACCACAGCAAACTCCTGTGGTGGTTGTACTCTCCATGTCCTCGTCCTACTGCAGAAAATTCACCCATCCTGCAGTGACATCCAGTGACTGCAGTTTGTTCTGGTCTCTGAGCTAATGTGGAAGCTGTTGGATCTACAGAGGAACAGAAAGGCTGAGGGGAATGGTGAGGAGGCGGATCCTGGTCCACCTGCTTTACTGTTTAATGACTTGACATTCGCCCAAAAATAACAGAACAGGTCAAAAGCCTCTGAGGTCAGGGCTCCAGACTAAGTCTTTCACTGGGGCCCCTGGTCCTACCAAGCTTCTGTCAGGTGGACGACCAAACATTGGCTGGAAAGCAGCGATGAGCGATTTACCCAGGTGAAAGCCCGGCGACTTCATCGACATGCTCTGGTTTCTATTAGCGGAGCGCGTTTTCAAAGTCGACACCTCAGTCGGTCACACGTCTACAGTCAAAACTGTGATGACTGGGGCGCCCCTATAGCGCCCCCTAGCTGTAGCATAGACAGGGCTACAGTCCCCGTTGCAGCAGTCGTGGGTTCGACTCCCGCTCACGACCCTCTGCTGCAGGTCTCTCCCCGTTCTTCTCCCCTTTCCTGTCCGTCTCCACTGCTCTAAATAAAGGCAAAAAGCCCCAAACATATATTGAAAAATCAATAAACCGCGTTGGCGGTTGAATTTGGTGCATGGTGATGGAGTGTAGGGCGCTACTGTGTCCTCTGAACACCTTCCATCACCAGGTGTGTCTCCCTCCTCTCTCCTCCCTGTGTTTGTACAATGATCCACTACCGTTTCATCACGGTAAGAGTTAAGCTGTTTTACCCGCCAGGCAGGCAGAGCGTCGCTGAGGGAGGAACAGAACGACGGTCAACCGCAGTAACCTGACCAGTGGCTTCCTGTGCAGACAGAAGGTACCACATCACCTCAACACCATCACACATCACACAGACGCCATCACATGAAAATTAATCTCACACTCAAGAAAAAGGTCGCAGCTATTTTGGCCTCGGTCCGGAGCCTCCTGCAGCGGGAGGTCACATGCTGCTGCTGCTGCTGCTGCTGCTGCTGCTGCTGCTGCTGCTACTGCTGCTGCTTCGACCAAAACTACTCGACATTCGTCCAGAATAGCAAAAAGGTGACAAAAAGATAGGTAAGCCCCGTAAACTGTGAGCTAAGGCTGAAGCTACTGGATGCTGCAGTGGGAACAGGAAGTGTGGGAGGAAGCTGTGGACGGTGAGTGTGCAGCAGTGCAACAGGCAGCAGGGGGAGGATGCTGAGGCTGGTACCTGTGTGTCCTGTGGCCAGGATATGAGGGTCGGTGTTGAGGACATCAGACAGATCCAGGAGAGCGTCCTCCGACATGGCTGGATGGCAACACACACACATGATTCACAAAGTACCACACAGGCCAGAATACAAGACTACGCAGGTTTGACTGCACTTCTGCAGCAAAGGCGGAAGAAATGCGACACAGATTTGTAGGGTCCTTTAGAAAGTCCTGCAGGTTAACCCTCTGAACTCCCAGCAAACCCTCGCACACTTTAACTCACTGAGGTCCATGTTTGTCTGCAGCATAAAGTCCTGCAGCTCTGAGGAACCAGAACATGAAGGAGGAGACAGAACTCAGAGATGTCTTCTGTCAGCAGAACTCCATGAAGACCAGAGAGAAGGAACTTTTCCTGCATTATTTACTTTATAAAATATTAAAAACCTGAAACCAACATGTCCAACATATTTCCACAGATGTTAAACCCTGGAACATCATGTTGTCTCCTCGTCCTGCAGGTGTTCAACCATCTCCATGATCCAGACTTTTACTCTCTGCTCATCAGATGTAGAAAGATGTTCCACCATCAGATGTAGAAAGATGTTCCACCATCAGATGTAGAAAGATGTTCCACCATCAGAT